CGTATGATTCGGCCCGATTCGACTCGACTCGACTCGAATCCCCGATGCGTCTACGCGTACAACACTTTTCTACCCCTTCCCAACCTTTTCCTAATTTTACCCCGAGTCCTCGCAACACTCGAATCCTCTTGGACAATGCACAGCACCGAGTACTCCTTCGGTCCGAACATTTTCACAAATTTCTCACGCGTCCCGAGAGGACACCTTTCTTACAATTTTCGAGTTTTATCCTGGAGAAAACACCGCGCGACTCTTTACGTTTCACAACTGCGCTATCGCCCCGATGGATACTTTGCCGTGCGTTAATCGCGATACTTTTCACATTGCGTCCGGTCCCTTTGTTTTTCTTAACGCGTTGCGTCTTTTGTTAGTCTTGTCACGAGGTGGTACGTTCGCCAGTGCCAAACCACTCGTAGTTTTCAAACAAAAATAAGACGAGTGGCGCTTGAATCAAATTTATTCGTACCGGTAAGTGAATACACAATTTTAAAAAAATACTTGTTTCATTTAAGTTACGCGCAATCGATTACTCTCTGTTTACGTTACACGACATGTATACGTACACTCTGTGACCTTACGCGCAAGAAGCGAGTACGCCGCATCGAGAAATATGCCAACAATGAATTTGGCTTGACACCATTCTCCTCGCAGGATCGATGTGTCGAAATGACTGTAACAATTTATCTACGCATCAAAATGGCTGTTTAAAATTAATTAGATTTCATCATTGTTCCTTCTCCGAGGTCCCTTTTATGGGACTGAAAGAAATAAAGTACAAACACTCTCTTGATATAAGAAAAGGCTAAAACAAAAGGTCAAGAGGGGAGCCGAAAGAAGGAGACGGAGAAGGGAAAGGGAAAGGGAAAGGGAAAGGGCAAGGGGGGGAAGAAGGAAAAAGATAATCGGGAAATGTTCGTTCTAAACGCAATCAATCTCCTACATCCGAATCTCCGTCGCCGATGGCGTAAAGTATGTGAAATGCAATTCCTAGCAGCGCCGTTCCTATTAGATCACCTATTGCTGTCAGGTATGGTATCGCAGAATTGTCCGGATCTATTCCTCGTGTCCACAACCATACCACCAACAACTGAGCAACGTATAATAACAAAATCACCTGATAATCATAAATGCGAACATAATGTTTTTATTGTTGGAACGATTAGGCATATTCGTGTCGAGATATACCTGCAGTAAAGCGGCGGTCAGGTACACGATAATAAATATGGCAGTGAAAGAAGTATGGCCGGCTTGGAGATAACTGATGGTGTAAGCAAATATTAGGTGGCCAGGTATTACCATCGCTAGTAAAACTCTGGCAGTTCTCGCATGTCCACCTACGAATCGTTCCACGCAACGGTTTATGTTCCCAAGAGCCTACTGCGGTGTATTATTCTATTAGCTACGGTCAATTTCCACGTACCTTTGGCCAAGTATGTGTAGAACGGATTGAAACGAATAACAGCTTTTTCTTGAATATCAGACCACGATTCTTTGTGCAACGATGTCGATATTCTGCTAGCTTGAACGGCGACTAAATTACCACCGACGCCATTTATTATTAACTGAAATACTGCTATACCTTTGTAATTCGATATCGTGTAATCTAGTGTCAGGCCGCCAACGCTGAAACGAATCCAAGCGTTTTTAATCGGTTCTTTCCCTCTGTCTCCTCCTGCTCCCTCCTCCACACCCTGCTTCTCATGCAAAATATTCCCACCCGTGTTGGATTAGGTAAAGGATGAGATAAGAACCTGCCAATCAACATCGCGCATATCACAGGTGTCCAGCCGTAATCCAATATTTCCTTTGTAAATGGATTTCTAGCTGCAATGTAACCCCAAACAGGGGTAACGACGATATGAAACGCCACACAGGTTGGAGCGATCCACGGCGCATAGTCTGAAACGCAATGTTACGGAGATTTAAAGTTTAAACTAGACGATTAGCCGATCGTTACGAGGCAACTAGACAACCCTGTACTAGACAGAATACCAGAGAGACAATAAAACACGAGAGTTTTCTCATTCGATCGCGACTCGTTTTCTCATTTTCGTCGTAGACGTATAAGGTTGTAGAGCTATTCACCTATAGCGTCGTAAAGAAGGGATGCGATCCCCGACAAAAGCGCCAAAGTGATTAGATCCCCGAGGGAAGCAGCGATCGGAGTCGCTATATTGTCGGGATTAATTTTCATCCGTTTGGACAGTAGTATGACAGTGACTGTTACCAAACCTAACAAAAAACTTGCCACGGACGCTGTTGCCAAAGCGCTAGCACACAATAACAGTGCATGATGAATATCGAACCGAGCGTCCGGTATCCAACCGAGTACGACGGCAGCCACGGAAGCTAGCAGACCTACGACCATGGCTTGGCACTGTATCAAAGCTAGATTCCCGACGATCAGTGTCCACTGCTGCTTCCGAGTATCCATGTGTCCGAGATTGGCATGCGTAGAAAGTCTGGAAGCCAACGTCATTTCCAGGTTTCCTTTCAAACCGAGCAATGCTGGTACCAATATATACACTTCGGATACTACTCTGTACACTGGCCAATGCTACAATATTAATACTATTTATATTAATACTATTGTATCGAGATACTTTGGTTGATAGTATTCTGCGCGTACCTGTACAATATCTAATAACAAACTGGCAGCTACCATGCCGAAACCAGCCAACAAAAAGGGTATAAACATTTGTATAGAAATCGACCAAACGTTCTCATCCTCGATTTCTTTCTTTTGCGACGGTATAAGACGCCGTATCTGATCTTCGTCGCTCTCCGAATCTTTCTCAGATTCTACCTGCGTGCTTCTGGTAGCATTAACGATAGGCGATCCGAGCGAATCATCGCTGTTTAATTTGATCATTTCACTTTGGTTAAATAACTTTTCCGTTTTTCTGTGTCAAATTTTCGATAACTGGTCTGTACGCCCCCCGTTGTTACGTTACCATGATTCATTCTTGTGAAATTAATTAGTCAAAATACACGACCGACTGCGCGAATCACTGTAAACAATACCGAGTTACAGGAAGATAACGATGAAATCATTTGAAAAAGTACACTATACGCGGAACCTTTCGATTGTGAAATCGTGAAAAATTCGCGATTACGCGGAAACTTGTTTTCTCCGCGTGATCTCGACAAATTGCATTTACAACGATGACGGACAAGTTCGGATAACACCCCGGGCACACGCAGCATTTGAGGTTACGATGCGCGTAGTTTACCGAACAAATATCGAACACTTGGTATTTCACAGTAAAGTAGAACGTTCATTCGGAACGTCCGATACCGAGCAAAGTATTCTTACGACAAACGTAATTTTCCAAATCATTTTTCGACGATAGTACACCAAAAATACCGCGTACTGCGAATATGGTGCAGCAGTACGCAGTACGCTTTGAAAACACAAACCGCACAGAGACACAGTTCGCCTCTTCCGAGTTGATTCGCGATCACGGGGAAAAATTGCTAGGAGGGCAAGGGGGACGTCCAATCGGCGCGCTCGGCCCGGTTGTTAATTTCGACTAACAACGTTGATTAGTTTGTTATTGGCCGAGTCGAGCGATTCCCTTTGCCTCCCTATCCACTTGGCCGGTTCGTACGCGGCTCGGCTCGGCTCGGAAGAGGCGAACCGTAGATAAGCAAGTACAACGAACGTTCGGTAGCGCGCCATCACGTTTGTACCTCTGAATCGCGTGGAGGAGTTTTCGGTCGATAAGAAACGCACGCGTCTCTGGAACATTATACGGAATGCTATAGGATACGGAAGACATTTCGTTTGGTTTGTTAACATAAATGTAACAATATAATATGCATATATGCATATCTAGTATGCATTTGTACACGATACGGAAAATTGGCGGTGACCGTTACCACACCGCCATCTCTCGATAGCATTGGGCGATGCGTACAATGTGTCGTAGGTAAATACATTTATCGTTTCGAACGTTATTGCCGGTCCCCTTATTGACACTCGATCGCGGCACGAAAAAGTATTATTTGTCGCGCGATGAAGATGCAGAATGCGATTATTGTTAATTGATGCGGTAATTTGAAAGGACGCATTCGTCGTTTACAAGGTAAGATGCTCTGACGCATAAAACTCGAGTTTTCGTATTGAAATGAACAGCTATAGATTCCGTTCGATTGAATTTGTTCCGACTACGAAGAGAGTGAAATGTTATTAGAGCTGGATCTGCTTGGTAATCGCAAATGAACAATGTACAGACACTCGAGGCGCGCAGCTTGAAATACCTTGGTCCGGGCAATGGGCATAGTGCCCACGAACTAGCTGCTCCCCGACAATAGATCGCGATAGACTTTGACGGATATTGGTGGTGCATCGTACAGATTGCCCTAGGCCTGCACAGGTTGCGGACTTGCGTCGCGATTCTCTGTATTCGTCTACGTTTATACGTTTAGCGCGATACGGTAAGTTTCGTTGAAAATTTGTTCCATTGGTCGGAATTTCGGAAAATATTTGTATAAAATCGAAATCTTCGATCGCCACGCGCACCGCTTCTTACGACGAGAACAAGACAGTTTACTTTTTATTTCGGACATTTTAAGATGAATCGTCGATTCGGTTGTTTCGACGATTGAGCGTTTCAAGGAAATGCGAAGAGGAACAGCGAAATAAATGACGCCGCACGGGAATTCGATTCGATCGAATTAAACGAGACGTCTGAACGATACAGATTTCTGGCCAAGCAAAAGTGGGAAGCATGGGCCGTAAGAAGTGCCGAAGTAAAAGTTGTCGGTTATCGAAAGCGGACGGCAACGGCCGTGGTGGCAACGCGAGGAATCGTCGGGACGAGAGTAGAGCGAAAGAGGAGGACGCTCGGTCCAAGAGCGAGGAAATTGGAGCCGATCGCGCGAGCAACGTCCCGATCGACGTGCACTCGCGACTGAGTTACCCTTTGATTCGCGGACGCTCGTCGGAGGATCTCGAGACATCCTGGTCGATCGACGAGAGCGACGAGGAGGAAACGAGGTTGGTGTTGACCGTTAAGCCTCGATTCGTGTTCGTGCCGAGCCTTTGCGCGGTTTGCTTGGAGAGGTCGAAAGTGTTTTGCGAACGCTGCCGAATGGTCTCGTACTGTTCGCCGGTGCATCGCGCGCAGGGGCTGCGGCAGCATCGCGACTTGTGCGGACCACTGACGGAAATTCGCTCGTCCTTCGCGGCCTCCATGTCCGTCGAGTCGGAGGAACGGCTCGACGCGGAACGGTACAGGGTGTACAGGTTGCAGTTGCTCGCGATCCTAGAATCGAAGAGCGGCAGGCCGTTGAAACTTTGGGAGAGGGAGATCGTCCTGTATCCCCGCGTCTGCCGGATCTGTCGTCGCTTCTCCGAGGATTTCGAGTGTTGCGCGGCTTGCGGCATGGAGTCGTTTTGCCGGCATCACCGGCAACCGCACGACGAGTGGTGCAAGGAGTTCCAGGTGCTGCGAAGGTGTTTGTTTTTGCAGCACAACCACGGCCACGTCGATCCGAAAATTCCGAGGGGGCGAGAACGGCTCGCCGGCGGCGAGCTCGCGCTCCCGGGCACCAATTTCGACGAGTTGACGCATCGCGTGTACGGAGATTGCTCGTATTACCGCGAAATGGACTGTTACACGTATGCCATGCTGTCGCACGTTTGCACGATCCCTCTGACCACTCTGTACGCGATGCAGATCTGTTGCTCCGAATGGCGAGAGAAACCGGAGCTGAACGTGCACGTGCTCGGGGCGGAGTTTCAATTCGAGGGTGTAAACTTGCACGTTTGGGAGCGGATGTTTCTTCACTTTCTGCCGAAGCTGAGAAGGCTCCGATTGGCACTGGTCGGCCCAGAGCTGGAATTGCCGAACGGCGTGCCGGCGAATCTTCTGTCGAAAGTGAACCTGTGCCCCGAGTGCAAGGCTGCCGATAGGCTCGTGGACGTTCGGTTTCGACCGAGAACGCTCTATCACGAGTTCGTTCGCGACAGAGTCGAGCACGCGGAGGGGAGGCCCGACCTGATTTGCGCGTTTAATCCCGGCCTGTACAGGAAAACAGGTTTCGCGGGGGAGGACACTTGGCCGGAAACGATACGAGAATTTTCCAGGATGTCGACACCCGTCGTCGTCACGTCTTACACGGCGAACGAAATCTTTTGGGAAATTAGTAGGATCAAATCTATCGATCGCGAGGTCGAGGTTCTTTTGGAACCGCAACGAAATCCATTCGCATCGATTAAACCGGACCGGAATTTTGTTAGCGACGACACAAATCCACTGATATACAAGAATTATTACGTCGCTATAGTTGCAGGTAAATCGATTCGTTCGTGAGTTGCTGCTCGCGAAAAGCGACTCGTTAAAAGCGTCCACTAAAGACTGGCTGTCGCATTATATCCGGTAGCATCGCTCTTCGTTCGAAACGTCGCGCAGTTTCCTCCAACTTTTCTCGTCCTATTCATCTGTCGTATCGTTGTCGAGTCTTTTTTATTTCCGCAGATTTACAAACGCGCGAATCGAAGTTTGCACCGCTTCCCTGCGACGCGTGGTTGTCGAATAGCACGGCGTCTATGCAACCACTTGTACAGTACACTACTCGTTTACCTAGGTACGTAGTTTTGTCGTAACGTAAGAAGGAGGAAGGGAAACGCTCTCGTATCGAGGCGACGCGAATTTCATATAGCACATATGTACATATCACAGACGAAAATGCAATCGATCTCGTGTATTGATATTGAAACAGCGAATTTTTCACGTCGTTCGCACAAGATTAATTACCTACTGGCACGTTCAAAATTGGCTCTATGAAAATAAACGTTTGATCGCGCAGTTATCTCTCTCTCTCTCTCCCTTCTCCGTCTACCTACTTACGCATTCATCCATCCATCCATTCATCGGTCCTCATTTGCATATCTATCTATGTAGGTATCTATCTATCTATCTATCTATCTATCTATCTATCTATCCACCTATCCATCCATCTACCTATCATCTAGATAACTAGTTATCCGTCATTCCGTTCATCTATTTGTTTGTGTCTGATGAAACTTGTAGATTGCAACGAGTAACGAGCGCATTATTATTCATTTATTACGCATTAGTAAGGTTGCGTCGGTGCGGACAAGTAATGGAAATCGCTAGGCAACGAACAAATAATCGGACATGTTCGAATCCGTAAAAATATCGTAGTTGAGCAAACGAGTACCGCGTGACGCGTATATAGGCGCCGAGAAGGTATTCCTTAGCCGCGATCAGCTCGGACGAATGTTCGGCTCAATAATTTTTCTCGATGTAATCGTCGATCGTTGCGTAACGTCTAGGTAGGTACGTACAGGATGATTTTGTAGCTTTGTACAGGCGTAAATACAATACCACGATCCGTATCAAGCGCCTTATCTACTACGCTGAGATACCTAACTTGAATTATTTACAGCGGAATATCCCAACGACGTATGGGAGTAGTTTCCAAGTGTACGGAACGACGAGACCCGGAACGTATTTGCCCTCTGAAACGTATTGTCCCGTACGAATACGAGCTAATAATAGAACGCGCGTGGAACGAATGGCACGGAAGGTATTAATAGTATCGAAACAAGGGTGGAAAGAAGGAGTGCAGGAACGAGCAAGTGATATTCGAGTAAGTATGGCAGTGTTGCGACTACCGAAGGATTAGAACTGCGAGGAGATCAAGAGGAGGAGCATTGTCGATAAAAGAGCGAACAAGAGGCAACTTTCGTGTGCGGTTCCCAAATTGGTCACTTGGTAAAAGTAACGATGATACGCATCGTCGCAATGAGATGGCCAATCGTTGAAGCACGCTGCGTACGCTACCACGTGAGCGATGTAATTTTGTTCGAAGGTACCGCGAATCAAGTGGGAATACGGACCTGAAAGAAAAACCAATTTTCTAATCGACCATTCCGACTTCCGACGCGTTGGATGGCTCGAACGGTATTGCGCGAATAGCAATCACGGGCGGCGTGTAGAAAGGCAAAGCGATAAGAAAGGGGGAACCGAGAAACCAAGAAACGATGGATGCGGGCAAGCGATGACGGATGGCGCGGTGGTTGGACAGGGGAAAAGGAACTGGAGGAGGTAGAGTTGCCGCGTAGTCGGAAGCTGAGCCGTGCTCACCTGCTGCATAAACACCGACGTCCTCTCCGCCGTGCGTTTCGGTCTTGATGTATATACCGGCCATATGGGCGTAGAAAGGTTGGTCGCGTGTCCGATCCTGATCGAGGTCCCTCCAAGTTTCGTTGACGTTGTTGCTGTCGTTACGTCTGTGATAAAAGAAACCCGGCCCATTGGCATAACTGAGCGTCTCGTAGGTCGTAACGTTCGATTTGTTTGGATCGCTGCCGAACCCAAGAATATCGTTTCCCCTCTTCGGGTAGCCATTCATCGTGAACGAGTGCGAATGATCGGCGGTTACGATTATCAAGGTTTCTTCTAGCGAGACTTGTTGCAAGGCTGCCAGTATAGCTTCCTCGAGCTCCGAAACTTCTCGTAACGCTAATTTCGCGTAGTTGTGGTGATGAGCTATATCTATTTTGCCACTTTCGACCTGCGAAGCGTCGGAAAAGACAAAGATACGACACGGCGGAACTTTCGTAGCGAATGAAAATGTTGTCGGTATTTCTATAAAAATACCCTCGAAAGTACATGTACAATACGGAAATGTTTTCATTGAAAAGATGCCAAGAATAAAAAAGAAAGGAAGTAAGTGTATGTCTGCATCGCGACTTCACCGGCTTTACTTAACTTTCCTTCACTTTAGTTTAGTTTAGCTTAGTTTAGTTTAGTTTAGTTTACTTTAGTTTAATTTAGTTTAGTTTAGTTTAGTTCAATTCAGTTCAGTTCAGTTCACTTCAGTTCAGTTTACTTTACTTTAATTTGTTTATTCGTTTGTTTGTATACGTCGAGTTCCGTCTTTGAAAAGATAACACGTATCTGCGTAGTTTTAAAGGTTCTCTGAATTTCATAGCGACATAATTGAAAATATTTCGAGGAATGTTGCTTACCATTAGAAGAAAACCGTTTTTGTTTTTCCGAAGTAGCCGAATTGCCTGTGTAGTCATATTGGCTAGACTAGGTACTTGATCCGTCTTGACTGCATGGTAAGGAAGATGACTGGCCGCGAAAACTCCGAGAATTTTCGAGGTGTTCGCGATGTCGATGGACATCAATTGTTCAGCGTCGGTTACCAGTTTTCCCTCGGGATTGTCTCGAGTCCACAGCTCGGCCAGATTTAGACCGTCTCCTCTGACGCATGTGTCCGGATCTATGGGATCCATGGGCAAGCCCAAGTGTTGCGCACCACCGCCCATCATTACCTGAAACGGAACAGAGTTTCGACCAAGAGATTCGGCAAGAGTGGACGAGCAATGATAATTTACGGTTCTCGTCTTACTTGAAATTTCCTTCCAGGTTCATCTTCGATCAGCTGCCTCGATATATCCTTTATGCAGTACTTGTATGGCTTTGGAATCGCAGTGTCGCATTCCCAATCGCGATTATTGGTATGCGCGTACAGAGAAGCTGGCGTGGCGTGCGTGATACGGGTTGTAGTGACGAATCCTAGATCGAACGATTTCAACGTCTCTGAATAGTGCGGAGGTTCCTGTCGGTTTCAGTTGGGTGGGAAAATAGAGCGAAGCAAGGATCAGGGACAAGGTTTTCCACTGCGGTTTCCGAGCGGCAAAGAAAACGGTCGTTATTCCAGTGGAAGAGTTAGAAACGTTACGCTGGAAGCGTTACGAGCGTTACGAGCGTTACGCCCTATATAAAACGGAAGGTCGACTCGTGACCTCCCGCGACGTGTCGTTTTCGCGCTCGTTTCGACAAGGTCTATTCGATACTGATGTTTAACGTTTAAACACCGGTAGTTGACCATGAGCTGGCCCAGCCCCGGTCGTCGCGGCGCGGTGAGACGCAGGGCAGTGGCAGTGACAGCGCGTCGGATGCGTATGTACCTTTTATCTACGAGCATTGCGCGTTTGATACTATATTCGGTTGCGATCGTGCGCGGACACGTATTTTCTCCTGCTTTCCCATCATCGGTTGGACCGGCGAACGAGCATCCTGGCGAGTCACGCCACCATGGCGCGTCATAATTGTAAGTAGAATCTAATTCCAAGATATTCCTATGCAAGTTCGTAGTCGCCTCGCGTGCATTTCATTCTTCCGTCGACGTTTGACAGGTTTTCCGAATGTTCTTTTCTTTCGAGTATTTAGAGTTTCCCTTTCGAGACGACGCGCGACGCGCGACGCGACGACGAGAGAAGAGGCGAAAGAAAAGGAGAGAAAAGGAGAGAAAAGGAGAGAAAAGGAGAGAAAAGGAGAGAAAAGGAGAGAAAAGGAGAGAAAAGGAGAGGAAAGGAGAGGAAAGGAGAGAAAAGAAGAGAAAAGGAGATGGCTAGAAAGTAGAAGCGGACGACTCACCAGTGTCCATGCCCGCTTTTTGCGCCCAATCCGCGACCGTTGTCACTTTGCTCGCCTCGTTTACGGTTTCGTCGCAATGATCGTATTTCGCTTTACTATCCAAACCGATCATGCTGTAACGACTCTTCACGCCGGAAAATATCGCGGTGGCAGTTCCAGCAGAGTCGGGTACTTGTTTGTCGGTGTTGTACGTCTGCGAGTAGAAGAGGAAATTCACGTATCGTACGCGAGGAAATTGATACTCGCGTTGCACTCGTAAGCGCGCGCACGAGCATTTACGTACCTTGGCGAAACCTGTGTTGGGGAACTTCTCGAAAGCTAATTTATATTCTTCGCCGCTTGTGCCCTTGATTTGACCTTTGAATATACGACCAGCCGTGATCGTGGATATTCCCATGCCGTCTCCGATGAATATTAGAACGTTCTTCGCGCGGTTTTCGTTGTTTCGATACGCCAGATTTTCTTGAAGGTTTTTCTGACCCGACTTCAGCCAGAAGGACATGTCTAAAGGAAGACGTATCGAATCATCGCTCGATTATATCGATTCGCGTGTGCGTTCGAGTCGGCCGAGGTTGCAAACGACATTACAAGTACTCTCTCGATTGAACGTTCCATGTTACCGATATCGTGCCGAGAAGGCAACTTTTCCTTTCAACTTTGAACCGTGAAGCTAATCGTCCTCGTAACAGAAAAATCTATTCCGGTAGGAATATTAACGTTGCGAGTGAAACACGTCCAATGGAAGTGCAATAGTTTGAAAACATTGATTCATTCTAGACGCGTCAGATGCGAGGATCAACCAAATTCGATTGTTGGACGCGTCACCGACTACTCAGACCGTGTCAAGAGCGTCGGTATCGATACCGAGACGGTTCACGGTCGATGCTGGTGAATGATCGTAACCAAGTAACAGTCGTTGCGATGCGATTGTTACGCGCGACCGCGAATGTAACGACAAACCTTCGTAAGTGGTCGAGTCTCGAGGGAGTGCGCTGGAGCCGAGAAATCCCACGAGGATGTAAACGATTGCGGCCAGTCGATTCATATTTGGCAAACTTGTGGTTCTGCAAGAAAATCAAAGTCAAACGAATCGCATGCAATTGGTTTCGTTTCGTGGATATCTGTTGTTCGAAACAGATCGAAAGTATCGTGCAGCTGAATACGCGTTATCGTTTCGGAGAGATGGGCGGCACGATAAACCGAACGGAATTTTATTATAATAATCGAGCGAAGCCGTTCACGGTGGTACACGGCGCGTTGGCCGAGCCGATACCCGTACATATCGTACGCGTTTCATCTCGATCTCGATCGACGCGTATTTTGTTCGTACGGTTGTCGTTCGTAAACCATCGGTCCTCGAGGGGTCGGCAAAGGCGCGTAAGACTAGCACCGTCGATGAAAATACGGCCAATCTTGAGTTGGTAAAAGCAACGATAACGCGACGGTTAAACGAGCAAACAGACGGCCGGACGAGAAGGGTCCGATCAGCAGCGGGCAGCTCTCTCAAAGGGGTGTTATTCGGGTCAGTTGGCGACTCAACAAAAACGATGCAACGTCGCGATCGCAACGAGGATGGCGACTCGCCGATACGGTGGAAGGATACGACGCGTGTATCGCGTATTTCCGGTGGAAACGAGAAGAGACGCGCGAAAGCAGTTGCAAGCCGGCGCAGGCACCAGATCGAGCACGACGAACACTCGGCATTTCGGAGCCACGAGTTCCCGTGAAGCGGAAACCTTCGCTGTCGGAACACGCGAGAGTAATAGAGAAGGAAAATTGCCAGTCCACGTACCTTTTGTCCGTAGTTTGGAATCGATCCGAGAATCTTATGGCTCCTATCGAATAGGATGTCGTCAAACACGTGTTCCGAGATGGGCCATAGTTGAACGAGAGCGAGGCGAAACGCGGAACGCGAAAGGCGAAAGGCGAAAGGCGAAAGGTGAAAGGCGAAAGACGAAAGAGCCAAAGTTGGCCCGGCAAGATTTTCTTTCGAATTCGCGACGATTCGAGGAAGTCTCGACGAGATCTAGCGGACACGCACGACTCCGGAACGGAAAGGCGCGTAACACGTATGCCGAAGATCGGACGAAGGGACGAGAAGGTTGTCGGGGTGACACGAGAGTCAAAAACCGTATCGTCGATCGGTTCGATTTTATCCGACTGTTATTACCCGACTGGATCGTGGTACCGTATTAACGCTAATACAGCGCCACCGAGCAAGTTTGTCACTTTATATAGCGTTTCAAAGGCCCTGGTAGATTGTACACGAGGTGGAGAGCGTGCAAGGGACACTGAGAGTACGGATTCTCTAGGTGAGGAGTACTCGGGGGAGGAGGGGAACCCCTCGTGCACTGTTAATCCAGGCGTAATTGAGCAGCTCGGTATCCGTACCATCGTGTCTTATGGCCGCGACGGATTAACACGAACGCGGCTCCTGAAGTATCTTGCGAGCCGCAAACTCTCGCGCGACTCTGCTCGATCTCTCCTTCTTTTCTTCCCTCCTCTTCTCCTTCTCTCCTTTCCTCCGTTCCTCCTTCTCACAGCTTCTCTCCCTCTATCTAAATATCTATCGCCGCCTCTATGCGCCTAGGTGCCTTGCTTCGTTTGATTTCGCATCGTACGTAGATATCGATTCATCCATATTTATTCCAAACTTACTCTCCGATAATCGAAAGATCATTGGAAGAACTCTAGTTTCTCGGAAGTTGACATCGAGATGTTCTCGGTGATTTTACGCATAGACATTGGCTGCGCCTTTGACGGATCGGTGCTCGTCGAATCGACGCGAACCGAATTGAATTAAATTGAATTTGAATCGAATCGAATCGAATCGAATCGGATCGGATCGGATCGGATCGGATCGGATCGCATCCTATGGATCACAAGTGCCGTGCATGATCGTTCGGCGGAGAGAAAACTCGACGCAGCCAATGGCAGAATCGGGACGGGCCCGAACCCCGAGAGGTGAGGCGCAAGCTCGACGTTTGGTTGGTGCAAGATATCGGCGTGCGCGCATTTGATTTCCTTCGCTTCGTTTCAGCTCGTCATGCTCCGACCACGTGTAGCGCTATGACACGCTCGGCTTTCTTTCTTGACTCTGTACCAAGGAATTAGTGGAGGTACCTTCGTTACGGTCGCTGCGTGATTCTTGCTGGCGATACATTTGCGTTGAGACAACACCGTGATCACCGCCTGATAATAACCAAGCCCACGATACACCTGAAATTTCTTGGCTTCCGTTTACCCCTGGCCCCTTGTACCCTTTCCTCTTCGAATCCTCTCGTTTGCCTTATCGAGCGTCGCGTGAATCGCATGAATCGCGTGAATCGCGTCGACTCCAGTTTGCACTTACGATTACATGGATTTCATTTGATGCCGGAAACGTTGAGAAAATGACGAAGCAAAGTCTGGAATCTATACGTACGAGTCCATCTTTCGATACTGTTCGATAGTTTCTCGCGTTAACGGCACTGGACTCGAAATTGAGTAAACCAGACTAGGCATTTGGTTGACTAGGTGGATTGGCGATCCGCTGTACTCTTGCGATTAGCTGTCGCCTCGGATACCGATCGACGCTTGCTTGTCGTTAACATATGCTCATGGCCGTGAACAACGATTATACGCGATAAGTGTATACTTGAAATATCCGAGAAGACGACTTTCTTTGGGCTCGATCGAGTAATAACCGAAGAATTATAATTCGTTTATTTTTCCTCGAACAAACGACGGTCCGAACACGCCGCTCGTGCCTGTTGGTATACCTATAGGAACAAACTCGTACGCAGATATCCTGCGCAACGCTTGTATCGTATTGTGGTAACACACAGCCATTTGCGTGGCAACAGGTAGACGATAAACACTTGTTTGCCGTTCTTCAATTGTACTACTTTCTGTAGCAGTCGACGATTGCGACAATTTTTTCTTTGACGATAGCCTATTGGTACGTTAGAAGAACGACATTTACGAGTTTGAGGACGCAAAGCGAGGCGACGCGACGCGACGCGACGCGACGCGACGCGACGATTCAGCTTTCAACCGGGTGATCGCTCGTTCGGGTCGATGGGATCTTATCGATAAGAGACTACTTGAGAAATCTGATGAAAGACGACCAGTTTCACAAGTTGTCAGCTTTGCCTTGAATGTCGCATGGTTTATGGGTAACGCGAACTTGTTCGGATTGTATTGTAGAATAATTAGAAATCTGCGTTTCAACAATCAGATATTTCGAAAGAAAATGAAGAAATAGGCACGGGAACTCGTCGAATCTGAAAGGAATTGCAAATGATCGAATAAAAATAAATCAGTGACGGCTGCGCGAAGATAACGCGAAGATAATGCAAAGATCACGTGAATCGCTTGTAATCGCGATTGTCGCGCGGCGTGGCATAGCGTTAGAGGAGATGACACGAGACACGAGACACGCGTGAAATTGCGAAAATGAAGGAAACCCGAAGACGATCAAAGTCGGAAACTCTGGCTGGATTCTCAAAGTAACGTATCGAATCGCTCTCCCTTTGTAAATCCGATTCCCTCTGTGCTCGATTTTTCATTTTCTCTGTAAACCACCGATCGAATTTCCTCCGTTTCGTGTTTGTTCCGATCGTGATCCGTCTATCGCGATCAATTTACGACCGTTGACCAATGTTGTTCTCTTCCCACTGATATTTCCGAGTTCCAAATGTACGGTTTCTCTCTATCGATCTATCGAAGGTACCAACACGGGTTCGATCGATTATTCAAACGGTGGAAAGGGACCGCAAATTAAGAGCAATTGGAAAGAGAGCTACGCATCAGCTACGTTTTCCTCGTGCAAAGATGTATAGAGAACTACAATATAAAACACCTATATCGTTTTCCTAGAATCAATATTGTAACTAACGTTAACGTTTGAAACGCGTTCGTCGTGACGCGTTCAGCTTTATTGCTGTTACTACCTACAGCGTGTGTACGCGGTAGTACAGTATAATGCTTGGAAAGCTTACGATTTCCTCCCATTACGCGAGATAATGAGCCTAGTATCGTATTTCGTAGCGTTTATGGATCACGGGAGACGCGTTAGCACGTGCGTCTACTTGTTTACTCTCAAGGAAGAGATTAAACCCGTTGAAAATCTACAACCGACGAATAAGATTGCGATCCGTTACGCGTCAGTTGTGTCGTCGGTATATGACATTCGATTTCTCGTATCCACTATTTACTCTCGTGCTCGGCGGATTTTTTTCATTTCCGTCCGAACCGATTTCCTGTCGTTTCGTCTTCGCGTCTTCGCGCCTTTTGCGAAAAGTAGAAGAGATGAAAAAAAAGAATGTCATTATTATCGTTGTTCCATTTGACCCAGTAAAGTCCATTTCGGTCCGAAAGTCGTCTCTCGCATCTCAATTGGAGTATAGATCCCATATCGGAATATCTTCTGCAAGGACCGCTACAGTTTCATTGACAGTTTTTCAGCCGTTTCAAAGTAGAAACTGTACAACACCGATGCACGATCGAATACAATGTAACGCGACGTGACATCGGCGACGTGACGCGTGTGACGCAAGGCGATGTAAAGTGACGTCACGTAATGCAAATCGACGCTACGTTGAACCGGTACGTTACCAGGTATAATAGTTTTCACCAAGAAAAGTTAACCGTTTGTAAGCATTTGTAAATTACGCGGTCGAAGATCGATTTTTGATCAAATAAGAAATTCTTTTGACACGGAAATATTAGAAATGCGTCAATTTACCTGTGCCGCGTTACGAAATCATCGTGATTAGGTTTGGCCCGATTTTATCGGAAAATTCAAACGCGCGCGCCATCGGGTGGTTCTCCTCTGTTCCGAAATAATCTCGAAAGATTCTTTCTCCGAGAAGATTGTTCTTATCGGCTGGTGAAATCGAGAGGAAGCGTAACTGCTGTAGTCTTCGGAAACGCTGTCGATTCTATGTAGACGATAAGAGGCAGGTAAGGTATACTCCGACAATGAAATAACCAAGCCCACTCTGACCGTGTCTCCGGCGCAAAGTTCGCCGAAATATTGTACGTACGGTGCTACACATGTTGCAGCTACTTATCAATAACAGGGAACACGAAGAAAGTTGGGATAATAAAATTGTACTCTATTTTCGTAACATATTTCTATATACTTTGTAGTTTCTCGCGACACCGGCGATTTCAAATGACGAAACTTCTGACCGGTCTACGCGGATAACAACGAACGAATCACACGCATGAACGAGGTAAATCGTAACGATTACAGCTGCAACTGTAACATTGGGCGACGGAATCGGTAGCGAGACCAGCATAGAGATCAGAGTCACGATACGATTTCCTCTTTCCGATAGAAAATTTACTGGTTACAAAAGATGTCGCGAGCTTGCAAAACACAACATTCTGCGAGTCTGTTGAACAGATTTATAAAAAACCAGATAAAGACGAAGACAGAAGATGAGGAGGAAGAAGAAGAAGAAGAAATCGGGTCGAGATGCTCGAAATGGAAACTTGACGAGTAACGTGGTTTTCCACCGATTCCGACACAAAATACTTTGAAAAATATATTTTATATGTATTGTACATATACGTACGGTATTTTTGCACTTACAGGTAACAAATGATTATCTCTCAAGGTATCCCAGATATGGAAAAATATGCTCATTGGGAATTCTCGTTGGAATACGTATAATGGGAAAAGGATTGTTCACGCTTCTTATTGAAACTTGTAAGGCTGCAGGTTTCGATACCTTGCAAAGTAATTTCAAATCAAGTATGTACTTTGAAATGCACATCGCTCGTAGGTCGAGTATCTATCGAAATGTATTAACAAACCGACTGAAATCAAATTCGACCATCAGATTTTTGAAACGAATGGAGAAACGCTGGCCCACGCGAATGCCCTACAGTACCATACAACTTTCATTACATATCGTTTTGGCGTGATATCCTCGTTATCTCAAGAGAGCTATACTTTCGCTACCCGTAAGTGCAGTCACACGGTAAACGATTCCATCGCAGGCACTCTTTATACTATCCACGAATACATTTTCCCCTTGTTGGAATGCCTCTTCTTTCGTTTATATATTTCCTACTTTTCGTTTTGCCCAACTGTTGAACCTTTTCCAGGTTACTATTGCTTGCAAACACGTAAATTTCGCTAGAGATTTCAAGACTGTGGCACGCGTGTCACGAGATTCGGAGTAATTAATCCGCAACTCGTTCGCAAAGAAGTGAGAAACGATTTTATCAACATTGGCGACAGACGTCCACGTTCGTTTCACGTTCGTTTCACGCTCGTTCCGCGTCCTTTCCTCGTTCTCATTTTCAACCTTAGTATCGTACGTTTCTCCGTTTCCGGGGCAAAGAAATGAGAATAATGGATTGATCGAAGGAGGAAGAAAAGGACGAGAAAACGAGGAAATATTATTGCGACAATGTCCGAACGAAAGGACGTCGAGACAGACTCGTATACGTTTCGCGTTACGGATTTCGCATTTCGCATTTCGCACTTCGCATTTCGCATTTCGCGTTTCAACTGAAATCTCACGGATACGATCTGCCGTTGAATCTTACATTTCTAATCGACACGTTCCCAAAATATGAAAACAATCACTAGCGCGTACTTTTATTTATTCGAAAACACAAAGTTCGCTTCGAGGCTACAAAGATTCTCTCGACTGGGAGAACCGGAACTATCGCGAGTATTTTCGACGAAACCAAACAGCATCTTCGAACCGATATGGATTTGGTTTTCCGTCGACGAACTCGCGACCTGCGCGAGTACTGGTAAAAGAAGGTTTCTTAATTGTGCGAGGTCCGCGAGTAATTTTTAATCGTGAAACGATCGTAAACATTACCGACCAAGCTGAGTAATGA